CATCTCCTGGGCCATCAAACAGACCTCAGCAAATCTAAAGAAACTAAAATCATATAAAGTATGTTCTCTGGTCCTAATAGAATAAAATTAGAAAGCTGAAAGGGTCCTCCCCAAACATCTGGAAATCGCAGTGACTGCTTGTCACTGCAGTTTGTCATGCAGACCCTAGTCACATAAGATCTGAGTTGTCCAGGTGTGGTGGCTGATGCCTGTAATCCTACCACTCTAGGAGGCCAAGGCATGAGGATCACTTGGGCTCAAGAGTTTGAGACCAGCCTGAGAAAGACTGGCACCCCATATCTACAAAAAAGGAAAAACAAACAAAAAAGTAGCTGGGTGTGGTGGCAGTCACCAGCTGTGCTGGAGGCTGAACCAGGAGGATCACTTATCACTTGATCCCAGGAGTTTAGTGGTTGCTGTGAGCTAGGCTGATGCCATGGCACTCTATCCTAGCTAACAGAGCAAGACTCTGTATTAAGAAAAGAAAAGAAAAAAAAAAAGCTGAGTTGCTGAAGTTGCTGAATTTAGGAGGGGTTGTCTCCCAGACTGATAGCATTTCAGTCTGGGCAAAAGGGAAACTCACTCTGAATATTTCAAACTAAATATCGTTGGAGGCAAGGCTGGAGGTAGGTGGACAGTTCAGGAAGTTGTTACCTCAGTCCCATGTGTCATTAGAGCTTGTACTGCATCTGGCAAAGGAAGTGCAGCTTGCTGATTGTTGACACCATCAGTTTGGGGGTTGACTGGATATAGAAGGCGTGTGAGAGAGGTTGCCTCTCAGGTATTGGGAAGCCTGAGAGAAGGGACGATTAAGACAGCTTCCCAGTGTGTGGCCAATGTCTGTTCTGACCCATGGTTCATGTACCTCTTTTTTTTTTTTTTATAAAAAACCTGTTCCATTTCTAAAAAGGTTCAACAGAGTTGTTTCCTCTTTCAAGAATTCTTTCCTGGGGGCGGTGCCTGTGGCTCAAGGAGTACAGCACAGATCCCATATACCAGGGGTGGTGGGTTCAAACCCAGCCCTGGCTAAAAACTGTAAAAAGTAAAAATATATATCTTCCTTGATTGTGCCACCTGAGAGATAAAGCTGTCGCACCTGGACAGTCAGGCAAGGAGAGGAGTTTGCTCTCTGGGGTTTGCATGATTGGTCCCTTGGGGGCACATTGGCAATTTGCTTGCTATACCATGAGGTTAGCTTAGGATGTGGTACTGGTTAACTGGATGCTATAAGAACTGCTGTGACTGATGTGACTTCAAACTTTAATTTTTATTCCTAATTTTAGAACACGATGCTGGTGGTTATTATTCTCAAGAAGGAAAGAGAGGTTGGTATTCTTTCTGGGATAACTCTAACAGAAGAGACCTTCGTTATGAACTTGGTGGATATGGGCGTCTGTCTTCACGTCGCTGGGTGGATGATGGAAACATGGAGATGACGGATGTCCGTGAGAACTCCAGAATGAGACGGTAAGTGACCAGGCAGTCTGGTTTGCATGTAGCAAATCCTGGGACAGTGCAGCTCATTCACTCTCTGTGAATTCCTCTCTTCCTTCTCTGACTGAAAAAGTGAAGAATGATAGCAGTGGAATGACAGTTGAGCAATCCTAACTGTAGCCATGGTGCCCATGAGGAGAGTGTGTATGGAAGACTTTCTTAGCATTCATGGACCCCTCCTCTTCTCTCTTTCCCCACAGCACTTTTCATACTTTCCGACAAAACAGGAGGAGAATGAATTGGCAAAATGGAGACCAAATACGGGTCACTTTGTGGAGAGATGAAAAACCTCCAGAGAGAGCATCGGGGAGCAGGCGAGACAGAGCCAGGGGGAGCTGGTTCAAGGTCACAGTGAGTATCTTGGCAGGTCTACATTAGGTAGAATATTTTGGAACCCTACAGAAGGAAGAGCACATTACACTCTTTAAGTTGAATATGTGGAGGAGAGTTTTTGAATGGAGAGTACAGGGGCTTAAGAGGTCTATATTTGGCACAAAAATAAGAAATCATGTCAGCTGTCCCTTCATTTGAAGTCTGTTAAAGCAAGATAGAGGGTCGGAAGAGCACACCTGTCTGGGTGTGTTCTCCAGGCTCAATTCCATGCTGTCTCTCTTCTCTCCTATTTGTTCTTTTCACCCTCAGATTCCTCATGGAGCAAACTATGACAAAGCATGGCTAGTGAGCTCAATCCAGAGCCATTGCAGTGTCTCCTTCACACCTGTTGATGTAAGAGGGGATGG